CTCAGGATTTTTATACCAGGGAAGCCCCGGAAATTGCTATAAGGCACATTAAAAAAATAAAAGAAAATTAAAGTTCATCATTCTATAGCTCTTGTAAGAATACATTTCTCATAACAAACATCTTTTTAGGAAGGTATTGTCAGTACTATTATTCCCATACTACAGATGTAGAAACTGAGACTCAGAGAGGTGATGAGACTTGCCTAACCCATGTAACTAGTAAGTGGGAGAACTCAGACTTGAAGACACAGGTCCTCTGGCTAAAAGTCCAAGGGAGTCAGAAAAGGGAGCTCCTAGGTGGGATCCAGGAAGCAAAACGTAAGCCCCCAAGTCAAATGTAAACAGAGACTATCTTTCTTTTTATCTTTATTACTTTGGTCCCTAGTGCAGACTTTGTCCATGGGAGATTTTTAATAAATATTTATTGAACTGAATCTGAGCACCCCCAAATGGTGCCATCCATTCTTTTAAAACAAATAGCATGGTTTCATTAGGACCATGAATATAAAATACTTAAGATGCGATTTTGCCCCACCCCCACCTACAGAAAACTAATTCACCTTTTACTTTTCCCTGACAGCCTTGGCTTTCTCCATCCTTCAATATCCTTAAAAAAAGATATGCTTGGGGGAAAGTTCACTGGGGTGGGGAATATCGGGAAATGATGGTGAAGTACAAAAAAGGGGAAGCAATAAAGTAAAATATTGACTCCATTCAATAATGAAAATTAACTATCCCAAAGAAAATTTCTATCAATTTGAATACACACACACACACACACACACACACACACACACACACACATATATATGTATATGTATATATAGACATATCCAAGTGAATCACATGATTTATTAGATCTTGGATAAAATATAAGATCCAGCAGTCACCCGCATCAAAGCATTGGTGTAACTATAAACTATTTGTATTTTGCTAACTTATTCTACTTGGCTACAGAGGATAGACTTAGGAGTAAAGAGTAGTATTTGTGAAAAGGCACATGTAGCCTTGTTGTAAGGAAAACTTCTTAATAATTTAGTCCTATCCAAAAGTGGAAAGTCCCATCTCAAGAAGCAGTGGACTCCCCCTCTCTGGAGGTTTGTAAGAAAGGGTGGATAAACACTTCCGGGGTATGATATAGAAAGGATTCTCAGTCAGGTATTGGGCTGTATTAGATTCCTTGTGAGGTTCCTTTTAACACTGAGATTGATACTGTAATAATATTTAAAAGAAATTATAGCATCATTCTGACATCTAAGTATGTATTACTATCCACTATCAATTTATTTTATTATTCATTAAGCTTTAAAATGTTATCATGTATATGCAAGATGGTATAATGCTTGTCATGGTCATTTCCCCATAAAGCTACAAGTTTTGAGTAGCTCTGATATTTGTGGTACTATTTATAGTGGTATTCATCTTCAAAAACAGTTGTGTATATTAAAAAATGACATGCTGTCCCCACTTGTCATCCAGGAATAAAGTAATACAGACACAAAAATCATTGAGTTCCCTGTGTATAAGTGCCATCTAAATGTAATATTCCAGTATTTGCACCCTTATTGAATCAAATAGCATAAGGATCCCTGTAAGTCTTACTGCATAGGTCTCATTTGTAAAAGTGTCTGATCTATAGCATGTAACATTATTATACAATTAAATAATTGCAGTACCTCACATAATAGACAATAATTTCTATTGAAATGAAAATGCTGAAGGCAAATAGTCATAGACTGCAGAATATTAGAGCTGGAAGGGGTCTTAAAGCTCTTCTAGTCAAACTCCTCTGACTCCCATCATACCAGGAGTTGCTCAGCGTGCTTGAAATAGCAGTGATTTGCAAAAAAATAATTGCCAAAAATCATCTTCTTAAGACATAGTTCTGACCATGTCACTCTTCTACTCAAAGACCTTAATTGGCTCCCCTTTGCCTCTAGGATAAAATACAAATGCTTCAGCTTGGTATTTACAGCCCTCTACAAACAGGCTCCAAACCACCTCTGAAGCCTTATTTCATGGTTCCTCCCTTCACGTGTTCAACATTTCAGCTACACTAGATTGCTAAATTGTTCCCTAAACTTCACATGCTATCTCCTTCATCCTTGTTTTGACTTAGAATGCACTCTCTTTTCATTTTCAGTTTTCACTCTTTTCTTATTTCAGGTCTTAGTTCAAGTACCACTGCCATATTATTCCTAATATACCCTGTTGCTAGGGTTCACTCACTATTCATTTGAATTTCTGTTAATTATACTGATCTGTATATGCACCATGTCCTCTTGTTCCTTGAGGACACAAACTGTTTAATTTTAGTTTTCCATCATCAGTTCCTAATCAACACCTTACATACAGTAGGCATTTTAAAAAAATGTTTGTAGAATTTGAACATATCTATTTGGAAAAGCTATACAATCTTAAAAATGTATACTTCAATGACTATTTGCTAATATGCTATTTGAATCTGTGTGAGTTTGAAAACAATGTAGAAAATGGTGAGATATAACACAGTGAAGATTGCTTTTTTCCAGGAGAGTTAATCATTGGAGTCAGTGAATTAAAGGTAATAATGAGGAAAAAAATCAGGCTAAGTGCATCTAGTTCAATGCATCTATTTCTATGTTGGAGTCTTTCTAGAAGAAGTGGTTCTTGAAGAAAAGTAAAAAATTGTGAAGGGAGAATACATGATGAAGTGAAAAAAAGGAAAAGAAGATCTAGGAATGAGAGAAAGTTAATGAAAACAATCAGTTAGAAGATGAATATTAGAAGCTTAGTACATTGGGCAATTGGCCATCAGAATACTAACATTACGGCATTTAATATCAAAGGAAAATCAGTCTGATTTTATAATGACATGTCATTATCATTTTCACAAGTTGCTTCCCTATCCTAATATTTACTCAAAACACAAGTGATTCATATTGAAAACCAAACTTAATTTACATGTGTGCATAAAATGCAAAATTTCCTATATGCAGGACTTCTCTGTGAGATAGAAGGTGTAAATGTAGGCCCACTCTACTGACTTTTGGGGATGGAACAATTATGTAATATATCCCAGCTGGTATTTAGACTTTGGGAAATACGTAGAACACTAATGTATTTAGAAAATCATGTTTCATTTATAATTCAATAATTCTTCAAAGGGTTCATTAACTCAGGTCTTAAAATTAGCTATGAAAAAAATCTTAATTCCCCATAGGTCAAGTTAATTAATTTAACTGTAATCAACAGCCAAGAAACAAGTAATGAACTAAAAGTTTTTTATCCACAATTCTAAGATAATCAGGGTACCTCTAGATACTTGCTAGAATGAATCAATCCATTACTAATGTAATTAGTAAACAATATATGTGGAAGTGTTGGAAAAATTAGCTTTTTTTTTACTCCTACTAATAATTTGACCAAAAAAAGTCTAACCTGTGCAAAGAAAATTAATTGTAATTAGAAGGAAAATTTAAGGGGTATATACTTGTAGCTGGTCTTTGTGGTCACATATTATATCTCCTCCTTCTGAAGGATCACTGTGGCACACATTTAGACAGGTTCAAAGTATATAACCAATTGCATTAGTGTGCTAAATTGAACACCTTGAAGCATTACATAGTTTTTACCCATTTCTCCTAGGATGGGCTTTTAAAATATGTTTAACTTTCAATCTTCTCTTGTTATATCATATTTGACTCTTATAATCTTTACTACATCAACCACCTCTTCATTTAGTGACCCCTGGTCTCCACATGATTCTGTCCCATTAATTCCCTAGCATAGATCAGTATAAGTACACACACTTCTTCCCATCCCCCAAAATAACAATGGGAATTTCACTTATTGAGCTGAATGTGATTCTCTAAGACTCCATAGTCATCCAGTCTAAACTTGAACTAGAGATTCTACTTATAAATTGCCTTACCCTTACGAATCAGGATCTAAATACACTTTTCTATATGACCTTGTTTTCTTATCTGCCTAAGAATGACCCAAGAATATGTATGAGAACATTTAAAAGCCACAAAGAGGGGGAACTAGGGGCCAAATGAGGAAGTCCAGTGTACCCTGTCATATTAAAGTGGCCTTTCCCCTATGAAAAGTAGGAAGTGTCACTTGCAATAGGGAAATTTATGACAAGCGTGTATTGAGGGACCATTATCAACAAGACTTGTACTTTTTATGCAATCTATGATCACAGTGATAATTGCCAGAAATGACTAATTGCAGAATAACAGAATCAGCTGACATGAAGGAACTGGTTTTTCCAGCTAAGATCCTATCGATGTATCCAGCTTTAGGGCAGAAAACGTGTAAAACAAAGCTAACATACACTCCACATACTAATTACAGGGTAGGCACATTAGAACAAACCAAATGTTGCATGTTACATCATTCAAGAGGTCATTTGTAAAGACAAAATTCCAAGCAAAGCCTCAGATGTTGATTAAAAGAAGCATTAGGCATAAGCTTAAATTCAACATTCACTATACTTTAGAAGTGGTGTTTTGTTTTTTGCCTTTTTTTTTTAACAAAAGGAAGGAAATGCTGGTTTAGTCTGTTTGTTCGATACTTATCAGAACATGTATTTGACCAGACATACATACATTCCCCTCCCCCAATTCCAAAGTAGCTATATCTAGAAAACACGGGACATACCTGTGTCTACTGGGGGCCAGGATAAAGAAGACTATTCATTCCAGTTTGAATATTTTGTCGTTCCTACCAAACAGGTCTTTCTCTTTTTCTTTTTGGTGGACTGTGGGTGATTAAACCTGGTTCTGTATACCAGGTGTCTTCAAACACGCATTAAATATGTAGGAGTACGAAGGAAGCTACAAAATGTTAGTAGAAACTATACTGTCAATCAGGTGTCCTCAGCCATGGAAAATGACTACTCCAGAAAACAAACAGGTTATAAGGCTGAAGGTGGAGAGAAATAACAAATAAGGAAGGCTTTTAAAAAAAATTAAGCAAATGGGCATTACTACAAAGGCAGAAAAGGGCCTTACCATGCAGTGCATCAGGAAGAGGAGAGGGGCAGGGAGCATTCTGCAGACATTGAGCTGAGCATGGCATCCAGGTATCCTGTGAACTGGGCAGGCGTCTTCAGCACCATTCTCCTGGACAAAGCGACAAGTTTTCAGCGGGCTTCAGACGGCCATTGGGCGCCAGATCCCTAGAGCTCAATTCATTTCCTTCTCCTGGAAAGATTTTTCCTCCAGTGAAGTCTCAGCTCAGCACTACCATTTCCCTGCTGCTCCCAGGGGATCTTCATGCCCAGCTTCTCGGGTCATCACACAGACTTTGGAGAAGCAAAAGACAGAGACCTTATTGAAGCCCAGGCACTGACTACGGTCCTAGAGTGGATAGAGAAAGGGTGGGCGGGGAGGCCTTAGAAGGCAAAGAAGAGTGGCCCTAAGAAAACCATCCCCACCCATGAGGACTCCTAGGTTTTCTGATGACCCGGCAATCTTCAGAAAACACCGAAAACTTTCCCACGCGGCGAGTTCATATGGTAGCTTCTCCGGGGTGCGCCAACAACCTACATCCATTAAAGGAATTTGGGAACCATCTTACCGACGCCAATAGCAACGGCGGCAGCAGCAGCAGCAGTAAAAGGCGGCGGCGGCAGCAGTAGAGGCACCAAAAGAAGCAGGAGCGAGCACTTCAGCTTCCGCGGGCCCAACTAAGTTGGGGGAACAGGCAGAGCTGTGGATGCCAGAGGGCTTGGGAGATGGTTTGCAATGTCAGGAGTCCTCCCCCCGCCAACCACCGGGATGGGGATAGGGTGGGTGGAGGGTCCCCTCTTGCCTTCTCTCCAGAGGGGTAGGGGAGCGGAGCAGGTCAGTGCATCGGGAGAAAGGTGGGGAAAGAGGGCATGTCTCTGTGTATGTGCATGTGTGAGTGTGCGTGTGTGTGTGTGTGTGTGTGTGTGTGCGTGTGTGTGTGTGTGTGTGTGTGTGTGTGTGTGTGTGTGTGTACACGCGCGTATCTGAGGTGGGGGCAATTCGGGAGTGCCTGGTTGGAGAAGGAGGGCGCGGAAGAGGGGTGGTTCCTGCGCCCCCTCCTGCCTTCAGGGTGACGAGCAGCTCGGGCTTCCCCACTTCTCGGTCTGCGGAGCTCCGTTACCTAGCGACTCACTCCGGGGAGCCCACGCTGACGCCTGTTAGCTGGAGCTGCGGCAGCCGTCAGCCAAGAGGAGGGGGAGATGTAGGAGGGGGCGGGCTCATGGCCTCAAGATCTTGTAGGTTCCTTTCCTCTCTCCTCCCTTCTCTTGCCACCCCTCTCCTTTTCTCTTATTCTTTTAGGCTAAGGGGGGTGGCGGCAAATCCTCACCCCTAAATCGGGAAGGGGAGAGGGCAGGTAGGGCAGCAGAGGACATTAAAGCAGTCTTATCCTCTATCCTCTCCACCTCATGTTCTGCCTCTGTCCGCCACCTCTCCCCCCACACCCCCGCCAACCTTGGCTGGCTAAATGTGGCCAAAATGGGGGAAGGGGGGTTGGGGAGAGAACAGTGAAATTGAGGAGGGGGCAGTCATTGCAGAGGGAGACAAGGGAGGGGCGACAGACTGGAGAGGAAGGGAATGTCCTTTATTAGGAGGTTCGGGCTTCCCCCAACCACAGACTGGGACTACTGCACTGGTGCTCCCACCCAGGGTCCGCCCAGGGCGGTAGGAGAGAAGCAGCAGGTGGCTGCGCTCCTGCCCGTGGGGGCGCAGAGTAAACTGGGTGATGGTGATGAAAGGAGTGATATCTTCCCGGAGCTTTTGGTACATCGGGCAATGGGAGCAGAGAGAGATGGGCCCAAGGCTAATTTGGAAGCTTGCAGAATGTAGGCACATGGGTGTGAGTGTGTGACACAAACACACCTAACACCCACGTGGGTTAAATGGAGACAGTTCTATTGCTGGAAACAGGCCTCCAATTTGTCCACTCCTTTTCCAACAGCTATAGGGAGTGTATGGAGTGTAGGGCAGCATATCCTCCCAGATGGGCTGCCCTCTCCCTTTCTCCTACATCTTCCTCCTCTCTCTGTTCCTGCTCTGTAAGAAACACCAGGGCTTAATACAGTGCCTGACACATACTAGGCGCTTAATGAATGCTTGTTGGCTTTACTTTCTAAGATCTTTGTCCAAACCAAAGACAACCAAGTCTCTTACCAATGACCTGTCACAGTTTCTCTGAAATAAAAAGCTTAGTTTTGACAGAGGAGCATTTGCCTTCTGGCCTCATAAATCTTGACCAGCCTTAGAAACGATCTTCTTTATCTAGCCATTTCACCTTATTCTAGGCCTTGGTGTCTTATTTTCCCTGATGTGTTCATCTTCCTTTTTTCTCCCTTGTGGGAGTGGGGATGGGAAGGTTCACTAGAGAATTAGGGAAGGAACTAACTAGATTAGGGGCAAAATCAGACCATTGCTGTATCTCCATCAATCAATAAACATTTATTAGCACCTCCTATGTGCTAAGTAACTGAGAATGAAACAGGCTGTATCCTAGAAAAGGTTTCTTGGGGAAACAATATGTGTATGCTCTTTTTTTTTTTTGCAATTATATCCTCATCTCCTAGCACAGTGCCTGGCACATAGTAGACATTTAATAAATGCATATTAATTGGTTGAGGTATACACAAAATATATCTCTTCTCCTTGAAACTAACACTAATTCTTGGAAAGGCTGTGGATTTTGCACTTTGTAATGGTACCTTACTTATAATCAAGTTGTGTTATATAGAGCCCAGCTCCTATCCAAAGCATCTTTCTGCCTCCTTACAAATGTGTATGTATATGCGATTTGACCAATCTAGAAAGAGTTTTTTCTTTTGGACCTCCTCTCTGGTGTGTGTCCCCTGGAGAGAGACAGGCAAAGACAGAGAGGAGAAGGGAATAAACCTTTATATAATTCCTACTATGTGCCAGATACTGCACTAAGCAGTTCAGAAATATTCTAATCCTCACAACCACTCTGTGAGATAGGTGACAGTATTACCCTCATTTTACAGTAGAGGAAACTGAAACAAACAGGTTTAGTGACTTGCCATGGTCACACAGCTAGTAAGTGTTTGAGGCCAGAGCTGAACTTAAGTCTTCCTGACTCCAGGCCCAACATTCTATCTGCTCTACCACTTAGCTATGAAGTGTATATAGGAAATAAATATTTGTCTTACGTCAGATTCATATTGTACATTTGACCATCTTTCTACTTCTTCTATATTTGAAGTTATATTATTGATATAAGCCATCACTTAAGCTATAGGTATTTTTTCTCTGTGGATGTTGATGGGTTAGTTGGAGTATTAAGAGCCAAAGAATACGAGAAAAGGGGAGCCTAAACTCCATCCCCCCAGTAGGCCCCATAGAGGCCAGGTTTCCCTGGGAATGAACTTGGTCAAGTCCATATTCTTGAGTCCAGAGCAGACGGGCCCTTGGAGGAGAAGGAAGTAGTAGTTGCAATGCCCCAGCTCATTGGGCTCAGCAGTAGTTCTTAGTGTTAGAAAAGAATGAAAGAAAGGAATTAAATACACTGGAGCATGCTTTTGTGAGATCCACTGTGCCTCTTGGCTGGGGAAGACAAGGATCTGTTGTGAGAATGGGAGGTTATATCCTAGAAGAAGAGAATATATAGACACATCACCTGAAAAAAGATGCTATCTGCTTATGTGGTAGGTATGGAGGTAGGGATTTCATAGAATATGAAGCTGGAAAAGATCTTGAAGATGATGCAATTCAACCAGCATTTTACAGATAAGAAAACTGAAACCTCACATAATAAGGTAATGTCACACAATTAGAATGTGGTTGAGACAAATTTTGAACCCAAGTCATCTAGATCCAATTTCAGTATTTAGAGTCAGAAGACCCAGGTTCAAATCCCATATATCTCACTTATTGCCTGTGTGGCCTTGGGAAAGTCACAACCTCCCTGAGTCTCAGTTTCTTTACCTGTAAAATGAGAAGTTTGTACTAGATGGCCTCTAAGCTTCCTTCCAGCTCTAAATTTATGATTCTACAAACCATTCTTTCTCTAGTCATTGTTTTCAATTTAAGGGAAAGTAACCTTTAAGATAAATTTTGCTAATGACATCCTCAGCTGACTTCAAAATGGCAGCCTAATATCAGGAATTCAGAATTGTCCCTCAGCACAGAAATAGCACAATAGGTACATTTTTGGAGCTGCCTTCCAAATATGTCTTTATTAATCACACTTATGGATTGCTAGGTAAGTCCAGAGTTTAGAATAAATAGAAAAGCAGAACTCTCCCTGAATTTCCAACATGATCCACTGTCTTGCCATGATATTCCTTAGAGAAATGTATTTCAATGAAAATGATATTTGACAACAAAAGCACTTTATACACGCATTGCAAAAATTGGGTAAGCATTGGTCTGTGAAATTTATAGCCTATAAACCACCAAAAAATTTCAAGCATTTTGGGATTCCTCCATCTATCTCACCTACTATATTCATCCTCTCCTTTCTTTTAAAAATGAATCTGAAAATCAACATGGAATTAAGAAATATCAGAAATGCATTGTCCACAATGTCTTAGTATATCTATCTAGAATGTGATTTTGATATATCTATCACTTGTGTCTGGGCTACACTTACTTACAAGTCCGAGAATAGCAGAAGATCCACTCTGCCCCTTCAGCTGGGAGTATATGTCTGTTCCCTCAGGAGGAGTTTTACCTTAAGAAAAGAAGGGAACAAACAAAACCCAACATTGCTTGGGAAGAATTACCTGCTGCAGAGAGACTATCTCAGAAAATATTCTAATTGTACTTTCCTCAAAATATAAAAGATTTTTCTAAGTTTCAGATGAAGGCCTAGAAAGAATATTTATCAAGTTTGACAATAATAATAACTAGCATTTATATAGCACTTACTATGTGCCAAGCACTGTTCTAAGCACCTCACAAGGATTAATCTCATTTGATCCTCACAATAAATCTGGAAGGTAGGTGCTATTATTATCCCCACTTTATAGATGAGGAAACTGAGGCAAACAGAGGTTAATGACTTGGCCAGGATCACTCAGCCAGTGTCTGAGGCTGAATTTGAGTTTAGGTCTTTGTGTCCCTAGGCCTAGTACTCTATCCACACCAAACTGGCAGGAATTGCTGATATGTTGGCTGACAGAACCAAGATCCCCACATGCATAGAAAGACCTGAAACATGGGCGGATAAATGCAACATTTTATACCTTGGTTCAAGCAATCAACTGCATAAATATGAGATAATGACAGTGTGTCTAAATGTCAGGTCACAAAAAAATCCAAGGGGAGTAAGGAGTACAGCAAATTTTATACGAGTCAACGGTGTCACATAGAGCCCACAAAAGGTAATGCAATCTGAGGTTACCTTAACAGAGGGGTATGGTTTAGAATGAGGCATTTGATAGCTCAGTTATACTTTGCCTTAATACTTTGTTCAGTTCTAGGTGCCAGAGTTTAGGAGGTCCATGGACAAGCTGGCACATATCAGGAAATGGAGTCCTAGGGATAGCAGTGGTAGTGAATATCTCATAGGGCAAATAGTTCAAATGCTAGCTAAGAATCATTGTAAGTGCAGTTCAGTGTGCCTATGAAAAAAAATCATATGGTTTTTAAAAGCAGAGTGAGGTGTGGCCAAGCCTTTATTGTGGTGTCATAAAAAATTATTTCAATCCCTATGAAACATATGAAGATACTTCACCAGAAGAGTGTGGGATAGGTTTACTGGATCCATTGGAAAAGCCTCATCTGAAGGCAGATATAGAAACAGATATGTCATAACAGAGAAGCATCATTTAGGAAGCAAAATTAGGAACTTTCTCAAGAGAGAGCTCATTCTTTCCTGGAGAACAACCATAGAAAATCTTATTACACCCACATAATTGAAATTACTGAATTGGAAGGCTTCTGACAACTGAAGGATAGTATGATAGAAGGCCTCAGTGGAAAAGCTTATGTATTTATATGTGTGTGGGGGGGGGTTATGTTGGAGCAAGAGATGCTGATGGCTGCTAACTCAGATATGATGTAGCAAACTTACTTACAAAAATGTGAAAATAAATTTTGGGATGGTAAAAAAGCAAAGTATGCATATTGTACATTTGTAGTATCTACATTTCATTACAGAGGGGAGAAGCCATATGACTTTCTAATTCATATAGATATCGAATTATGGAGAATGATAGTGGATGGGGACATTAAAGACTAAAGATAAAATTAACATTAGATTGGGAAAAGTATACAAGGTCCCAAAATGCAACAAACTAGCAGGAACAGAAGTGAATAGCCAAGACTGTGTGGAATACACTTGAAGAGTTTAGTACATAAAGATTTAGTACATAAGATGGAAAATAGGCCTAAAGATGTTCAGAAGAATTCCCACCGGGAAGATCCAGGCACAAAAAGCTAAGGAATATTTGACCAAACATGGGCTAAGGAATTGAGGTAAAACAATAAAAATAGGCATGCAGAGTCTTAAAGGCAAGTACCATGGACAGTAACAGTATCCCTGGAAAAGTACTAGAGCACAGGGATTGAAATCAGACTGATATATGATCATTATCATCTGGGAAAAAAACAGAGAGACAGAGCAAACTACATTGTGAAGATAGCTACACAAAGACTGTATCCAAGTGAGCAGCATATATGCCACAGGTCCTATAGAAGTTAAGAATAGCAGCTTTAGTTTTGAGAAAAGGCAGTGAGTACAGAGAAGGAGATCACTTAGGTCCCCATCAACAGTGATCATGACCTTATTAACAATTCCTAATGTTTTTTTTCTACCTGAAGTCATAGGACCTCATATAAAAGTGACTGAAAATTAAAATGTGTACCGTACTATTGTCCTGGATAGTGGAGCACAAGCAACTATTGTGTTCCAATCATTCTACAAAAGATATTTGAAGAAAATACCTTTAAAGGCTTTTAGAAGACTTTGGCCTTGGAGAACTAAATGCCAGATATTACCCATATATGGGTAGCACTTAGCACTTTGACATCACCTCCTCACTTCTCTGCTTGTATAACTTCACATAGCAGCCCATCAACC